ACTTCTCTTTCCACTCAGCCACAAGTCCTCTTGATTCCCAAACGTTGACTATGCTCTGCACCTCAGAGTTGCTAGCATTCAACGAGAAACATGGCGCGCCATGGTCGAATAATAGCTCCCTCCCATCTTCGGCAATTTCTCTAAAAAAAATCCTTTCAGAAAGTAAATAAAAATTCTTCAAAATGTAAGCATCAATGGTGACTGTAAAAATACCTGCGCTGAGACATCCGGCCCCCGGGTCCTCTAGCGGACTCGAAAATGGTGACTGAAATTCCGTTTTTTGCCAGAATCGATGCACACACGGTTCCTGAAACTGGGAATTTGAAGATACCACAAGCTCAGTACATGATAAATTAATTAATATTCAACTTAATTATAACAGTTTGATTATTTTATTATAAATACGCTGATCGTTTATTATATTTTAAGAAAGGAGAAGAAACTTCGAGTAGTGATTGCGCCGCTTACTCCCGCTGCCTATGACGGCGACATTGGAAGCGACGCTTGACATGGCGGCGAGTTGGCTCGATTCCTCGTTCAGTTCATAGTAATTTCCAGGATCGAACATAAGGAATGTGGATCGGGTCCATAGGTATATCGTAATCCGGGATTGGGATCTCTAATTACTCTTCCCAAGCGGAGTTTTTTCAATTATTAACTGTTCGGGAGAACAGGAAGTATTTGGGCTTCATTTTTCATTTTTTTTTTTTAAAGAATTTGCTATTAGAAATAAAAGAAAAGTTTTCAAATTTAAATATCATATTATTTTATTGAAAAATGTATTGTTGAAAAGAAAAGAGAGAAAAATGAATTTTAATTTAACAAGACCAAACTGGAAGCAAATAATTACATAAACAAATTGTGAATTCTTGAGTTAATAGTTGCATTGGTCATTGGACTTATGTTTACATCTTCGATCACTCACTGAAATTTAAAATGTCGAATTTTGACCACTGAACTTTAAAAAACGTTGTACGATACTCATTAGCATAACTTCTGTCTCAAACCTCTAATGGAATTGGTGATGTGGCTTACGGAATGCATATGTGGCGTACCGTCACATAGTTAAACTTTGAGAAGGTCAAATTTTAGCCACTAAACTTTGAAAATATCTTTCATTGCTCACCGAATCTTGAGATGGTCGAATTTTGCCTACTGAACTTTGAGATAGTCGAACTTTGGCCACTAAATTTTGAAAAACGTCTCCTATTACTCATTATAAATTTGGGTTTAATTAAGCCTCTATTTATCTCCCTTTAAAGCAAAATACTTTAATTCTCATACTTATTTTAACCACATATTTATACATTAAAATATTTTAATGTAAATTCAAAAATTTCCCAACACATTTATACTATTTAAAACCCTTTTTTAAAATAATAATAATAATAATGGCCATCAAACACGAGCTAAAATTCGGATTTTATTTAATTTTAACAATAAATATATTGTGTGTTCCATTGTGATTAGTAGTCAAAGTTCAACCACCTTAAAATTCAGTGAGTATTAGAATACATTTTTCAAAATTTAATGAGTAATTGAAGACGTTTTTCAAAATTTAGTGGCCAAAATTTGACCACCTCAAAGTTTAACAGCGTAATATGGCGCCACATGTGCATTCCATCAACCACTTCATCAATTCCGTTAGATATTTGAAGTGGAAGTTAACAAATGAGTAACATTCAACATTTTTCAAAATTTAGTGAAAAACTTGACATCTAAAACTTCAATAAGCAATCGAAAACGTTCACTGACCATTGGAACAATTAACTCCGAATTCTCCATCAGCTGTCGGATGGCGATAGCACCATATTTGTTCTATTTTTAAATATAGAATATATAATTTTTTTTATTAAATTGTTTGACAAATTACACAAACCTCCCCATTTGAATGAATGTTACAAATATACCCCTGATTTTTAAAAATTTGCAGTTAATCCTTACAATATATAAAAGAGGAGGATTTTGTCACTGTTCCTAAGCCAAATGGCCAATTTTGTAGCCAGCCGTTTAGCCCAGCCATCGAAGCCGAGCCGGAAGAGGAGATATTTTTTTCCTTCTGCTATGCTTTCCTCTGTCTCTGGGTTTCTCCATTTTTACACGTAAAGTCTGTACTCCTTCTCCATTTTTCCACTCAACCGGCCACTCCTCTTTATTCCTCCTCCTTCATTTCCCTTTCCA